ATTTATTTATTTTTTTATTATATCGTTTTTCCACGTAGAACATGTTTTATTTCTGTTACTTACAATACTTTGATCCTTCTTCAGTACAATAACTCATTACTATTACAAGAGACAACAGAAAACATTTGTAAAGTGATTATAAAAAGGCTACAGCAGAAACAAAGCGCCCTTTAATCTTGCTTCTTTGTCTTTTCTAAATAATGACCTTCTCACATATTTGAAGCAAAAGCATAAAAAATAATAATAATAAGAGCACGCTGATCATGATTGGTCGAACAACTGTGCTTTATTAGTAACGCAGTACAGTACTGAACACAGTACTGCGAAGTGCTCCTACATCCTGATGCGACCGTCTTTCTTATTGCATAAATAAATTCAATACTGAAATAAAATTAGTAACTTTATAATAAAAGAATAGAACAGTTTTTCCATGCTTCGTTCAGCAATAAAGCACTTAAGAAGTGTGAGAAGAACTCGACTGAGGCTCTTGCTTCTCCTTACACTATATTCGTGCATATGCCACTTTCTGCGTGCTTTATTACTGAACGGAGCACGGAAAAAGCTCTTTTGTATGTTAAATACAGACCATTAGTGGCAGTTGCTTCGTCTGCTGTAGTATTTACAGTCTTGGTACTTCCTTCATCCTTCACACTTTCTCCATATTTGTTCCATGCAGTAACCATAAACATGTATGTTTTACCATAAACAATGTTATCTGTTACTCTATAGCCATCTTGATGTTGATCATTGACGTCTTTATATTTTATCCAATCAGCTTTATGTTTCACTTCCTTGATATAGATGGTATAGCGCGTTATGTTACCACCATTGTCATCTGGTTTTGTCCACCTCAAGACGACGGAGAGCTTAGAGTATTTGCCATTGAGAATAGTTGATATCAGGTGAGGAATTGAAGGCTTGCCTTCAAAATTGAATTCCAAGTTAATGGTAACATTTATGGAAATCGGACTACATTACCTATCACTATTGAATGGCTGGAAATTTCAAAATGTTGCACGCAATGTTGCAGCTATGTTCACGCTATGAAATGTGTTGCACGCAATGTTGCAAGAGTAGAGCGCGCTTCAACTTCAGATTTGTTGCATGCAATGTTGCGCGTAACAAGTATCAGGGGTAGGCACATGCTGCAACAGTCCTGTTGCGTGCAATGTTGCAACGTGTATCTGTACCATCATAAATTTGCTAACTAGTAGCAGCATCACTTGGATATATTTACCGATTCTCTTTGTCTTGATAACTTTTGAAGACACCACTCCATACCCAACAATATTCCTAGCACAGACCTTGACAGTGTAGAGTGTGTTTGCCTTCAGTCTTGTTATAACAGAATGGGTATTCATTATGATCACTGGGGGTTTGGTACTGACTTCCAGTAAGTAACCAGTGACAGCGAGTCCACCAACATCAGCAGGTGTTTTCCATCTAACAGTTATAGATGATGCGTCAAGCTCGGTTATTTCTATAACAAGAGGACTTGGAGGAACTAGATAAAAAGATGATATGATTGCTAATGAACTGGAAAGCCCGGACTAAGCAAGACTGAAGACATTATAACATTGTAAATATATTTCACGAGCTTAACTTACACAGTTGAGTAACATTGATGACGTGTTCATCACTTCCCAGGATGTTTGTTGCWCGACACKTGTACTGTCCATAGTCCCCTTGGTYAGCWGTTGTCAGTACTGTTACCTCACTACCCTCGAGCACAATGTTGACACCTGAAGTGATCTGTTGATTTGTTGGTTTGTACCATGATATCCGTGGTGCAGGTAAACCAGTTGCTAAACATCTGAGTCGAATACTGTTACCATTCCATGAATTTAAAGTCATAGAAGACTCTGATGTGTCGATTTCAGGTAGATCTAATAGTTCAGAAGGGAAGGAGGAACTTAAGATTACGGGCATTTATGGATCATTAAATAAGAAATTCTATACTTACAGTATACCACTACCATAGTCTGTGCAGTGACTGGATTCTCATTAGGGTTGTTCTTGGCCTGACACTCATACGTCCTATTCTGATCTCTTCTAATGTTTGGTATCCTCAGTGTAGCACTCCCTGTTCCTGTACTCTTGGTCACGTGACCTGCTATCTGCACCCACGTGATGTTAGGTATTGGTGGACCAACAGCAGTGCAAGGCACACTCAAATCTTGACCCTCTGCTATATTCTTTGTTTGTGGTGGCTGTGGCTGGAACGTGGGAGTTACTTTTAAAGAAAATGTCGTAGAAAACATCACGTTTGTGTAAGCAGGTTGAAGAGGCAATAGGTTGTACAAACAGGTCATGTGACCCCATCCCCTTAAAAACATTTTGTTCAAAATGTTCTAAAGTACCCCCTCCTCTCAAATAGCGGTTCGTTACAAAGATTTGGTTTAAATAAGCTCCAGCATACCAGCACATTGGGCAACCCATGTGCACGCTCCAAGAGAATCTTAGTGTATATTTTCAGTCTGTCACTGATATTTGAATTATATAGCGACCAATACAGTACATTCTTGTTGTTTGTTTACTGTAATGTTTTAAATTGTCCAGATTTATGGCAGAAAGACAACAACCTGAGAAACTAAATGCTTAGTCGTTCAATATATGCAAATGTTGGCTTAAAGACTATAAAAAAATACCTGTCACAACTAATTGTACTTGATGGTCAATAGGGTCTCCTGCTTTAGGTATCAGACTACATTTATATATCCCACTATCAGCAGTTGTGACATCAGTAATGACCAGAGTAGCATTGGACTCTCTGCTTACTCGATCAGGGTTCAATAATCGTGCTGGACATGTTGCCCTATTGATGACAAAACTCCAGTTGTTGGTGTACTTGTCATCACTACCGATTCTGCTTTCATTACTTCCCTTCTTATAAGACCATACTGGTGAGTTCGATTGAAACTCTAGTCTTCTATCATCCACATGGTAGTCCCACACAAACCTGGCTGTAGTTCCTCCACTAGATACGTACAACACGCTGGGAGGGAAATGAGTGAAGCGAGCTGTTGTGTCTAGAAAACAGCAACTTTCATGTAATATTATTACTTGCATTTGACAATGAAATTATGTCTCTAATTTCGTTTTATTTGGGCAAAATAAATATACTTTCCGTGTTAATGATGGCGACGTCAGGTAAGGTATTTGAGTGGTTTTGTTGTAATACTAAATGCTGGCCATTTTGAAAATACAAATTTAAAATAGCTTTCATGTAAACCATGAGTAAAATAATGATGCTTTTTAAATACCGTATCTATGAACCAGTTCAATTTTGCACATTTAATTGAGCCTTAATAGACGTCACACTCATTAGCATATTGGAAGTATAAACCTTCATAACTTAGAAACGCTTCACTCAAATCAAGAAATATTTTACCATTCAACTATTTACTTCATGTAGAATCAGTACTGAAAGTATTGTCGAAGGGTTCTTATGCTCTTTAACTTCAGACGACACAACGTTTCTCGATTATGAGTGTAGACATTGCAGTGTGACACAATGTTTTCAAAGTTATGTATCAGAAATCGTTAGGGTTTTCATTGATAAACTGGATTTATCTCGCTAATCATCAAAACTTTGATTGACCACCGTCAAATATTGATCGCTGTAAATTTGTAGAAATTAGGAATCGCTGAAGAATGTATAAAAACAACATAAATAAGTAATATATAATTTAGTAATAGACTTACCTACGTGAGGAAGTAAATACAATGCACCGATGTAACCAAGAATGTAATAAGAAATTATCTGTCCAACACTCATC